AGATTGACACTCAAAGTCTACAAATTATATACAACACATTAAAAATATATATATAAAGGAAAGAAAAAAAAATAGTAACAATAATATAAGTATTAAACCAAAATCCATGTAAAAATCAACAAAAACAAAAAAAAAATCACAATGATCACGAAAAAAAAACTCAAATAAAAGAAGCACTTATAAAGAATCTTATGTTTTAAATCAAAATCAACTAATTTGTCTATACATTAATTTTCCTCCCTATAATTATGAGAATGAAAAAAATGCATATGCAAACAAAGTGAGAGACAATGTTACCATCTATCACAGATGTCCTGAGAAACAATCTGAGTGCTTACAAAAACTTTAGAACAAACTTAAAATCACACTCTACCCAAAGCTTGCACTATCCAACATCATGCCTACATGTTCAATAACACACATAACAACAATAAGTTTAGTGTGCAAAGCGATCTTAATACCGATGTAAGATACAAATCCATCCAAAAATGTTTCATTATTATCTTTAAAAAGATCACTAGAAATAACATGACTAGGAAAGCCTTGAGCACCACCATCTCAGTTACACCTTATAAAGTCGAAAGGTACCAATTGACCTATTCGATCAAAGTAGAGTTAGACAGATGAATGGGTATTATTAGGCATTTCAAGATATTAAATTCCTCCATGATACAGTCTACAATTAAGTGTAAGCATGGATTTATGTATCCTAGTAATTAATTAGATAACTATTGCACCCTAAAATAATAGTTTCTCAGATTTAATTTTGAATATTAATAAAATACATATTATTTAACTTCACTGGTTTATTTTAAAAATAACATGTTTTCTTAAATTATTCTTAATACAATATTAAAATAAAATATTATTAATAATATAAATTTAATTAAATAAAATAATATTTCAAGGATAATAATATTAAATAAAATAAGTTTATATTTAAGACTAAAAAATATGAATTTTTCTTCTTATATTCGAAACTGAATATTTATTATGTTATTAATATTTTTTTACATTAAACGTTCATACCAATATTTAATTAAAAAAATAATGTTAATTATAATTTTTTTACACCATTATGTTAATTATATTAAAAACCACAATTTATACTTATTTTGTCCATAATAAACATTGTGTAAAAAGAAAAATAAGTATTATTTTTATTTTTAATGTAATTTTAATTTTTCTCATTTATATTTTTAATGATATTTTTAGAAAATTGTAAGTTTTATTTTTTCAATAAAGAAGATTAAAAATAAAATTAGTTTTGTAAAATTATTATTCTCTCTTTTTAGTCAATATTTATCTAAGAGGATATTTATATCAAGAAGAGATGGTTATAACTTTATTATTTTTATAAGGTTATTTCACACCTAACTTTATAATATTAAGATATATTGTCTGTTTTGAATTTAAGTTCTCACTCATTGAAGTATGTGTATATTTTATAACTATTATTTCTTCTCTTATTTTATCGATATATAATCTTATTTGTATTCAATAAAACAATACTTATATGAAAGTTAAAAAATGAATAATTGGAAAAACAATTGCTATAAGTTTGAGAGAATTTTTTTCTCATTTCACTTTCTCACAACACTTATATATATACTAATTTAGTTATATTACTAATTAATGTGACTAATACTTTTTTTTTACATCAAGAATTTGGCTTCTCAAATATAATGTTTGCAAGATGAGATATTTGTATACGAACTAAATTCTAATATTCATTTTAATAAGAATTTAATTTAATCTTATAAAATTAGTTTATAAATAAGAATTGTCTCCACTTTTATATTTTATTTTGAAAATATCACTATATAACATTAGATTTTCAACACTGATCATATCAAGAATAAACATCTCTCAAAATATAAACTTTATATGAATAAATCTCTTTAAAATGAGAGTTAACTTTACTTCTACACATTATTTAAATTTTATAACTATTTGAGATCTTTAATATCCTCTTTAAAATTAATTTAATTTTGTAACATTAAGTTAAGGTTTAAATGATGTTTTTGTTAGAAGAATCAACTAACTAGGTTGTTCTTTGCTCTGATCTGACATTGGGAAAGGAGCACACACATTGAATAGAAGAACTAACATGAGATTAAATTAGGTTTAGATAGTATCGAAGCCAATAAGATGCAAGTAGTTGCTAACAAGATGGGAGACCAAAACCGGGATCATGCCAAATTCAACAGCTTTTTCTTCTACAAGGATTTGCCTATCGTGTTTGACTGGTCCATGTTGGAAGGCCTTCATTTGGGGGAATCAGCCACATGTCATAACCCCATTAGCACAATCACTTGAAAAGGGTTAAACCACGTGAGTGACAACCATGTCCTTTGCTGCAACTTCATTTTTTTATTAGTACCCTCTGTCCTTTCCTGCATGTTACCAGGCTTTCCTCTCTCCACGCCATTTGCAAATTATACAGTAACATATTACTATATAGTAACAATATGCATGATTATAATTTATATTTTATGATTTATGGAGGCTACCTTCGTTTGTTTCCTCCCTATGATTGGCGAAACAGAAGTTTAGTGCCTACAAAGGAATATTTGCTTAGACTCTACAATTTTATATATTTCATCAAATCCATTTTTTCTTTATCAAATTATATCATGCATGATGTCTATATTTTCTCTTATCTCTCTTCTTCTCATAAGTGTCTGATAGGTGTAGTGAGTGTCTAACAATTATTTTTTATTTGGTTAATAAAGATACAAACAATTATACGAATTAGTGATTGCGAAGACTGAAGACGAGAGCTGTTCAACTTGGAAGAGGGGTAGCAATTTCAAATGCCTCGTCATGGCCATATGAACATGTAAAAGATCATCGATGGATGATAGATAAAGGATTTGAATATTATATATATAGCCAACTTGCCTCACTTCGGTTGGATTGTCATGAAAAATTCAAAAAGCATGTCAATTGAATGTGTGTTTGGTTTAATGTTATGTAAAAGGGAACGCACGTTACTTAGAGCAAAACACAAATAACTTGTGCTTCATTGTAACCCCTTTGATATTATTGATATATATGTGTTTTTAGTGCAAAAGCAAACACATTATGAATCTGGCTCACCTTTTTTAGAATTAAAAAAATATACAATCCGAATCAACATATTATATATTGATAGATTGATTGACGAACCGACACACTTCATTTTAAAGAATAAAAAAAATATAGAAAATTGTAAATACAAAAAATTAACAGCATACTAATTCATAATATTATCTCAAAAATAATAAAATAATAACAAAGAAATGTATACCTAAAAAAAGGATAAATAATAAATTCAAAATAGAAAACAGCTTGACATGAATTCACATCCTCAACTACGAGTTAAGCAAGTTTGGCTACATCAATAATGAAAAGAAAAAAAAGTGAACATTTATAATGCATTTAACTCGTGAGTTCAATTCATTCACAGGTAGAATTCACTTTAACACTTTCACCAAATATTAATCCATCTTCCTCTTTTTTCTTTATCGATCAATAAATTTAGTGCTAATATATTACGTGCCTTATATGCTTCTATAGTTGGATGCATTTTAGAAGCAAAAAGAGAAGAAAGAAATATGGTTTAATTAGTGAGACCCTTTTGATAAGTGAGTCTCACTCAAATCTAGTGTCTTCCTATCTTAATATAGAATAATGTATCTTTCATTGAACTCACGATATGTGTGTGTTTGTTTTTATGTTTGATTCAACTGAACGTGAATCCATTCTTCTTCTTGTTTCTACGTTTCTGTTTTGGAAAGGAAAAAATTTCAATTGAACGATGTTTAAATGGTGAAACAAACACGCTTTATTTATGTTTGTTTATTGATTAAGGATTTAATGTTGCAATTTGAAATAATAAAATTTTGTCCTGAAATTGAATTCCAATATCTAATTGAAAGACAATCCCAGGTCACGTGGTCACTTTGATCCGTTAGTGTCGCCAGCTCATTTTGGAGTCAAAGTTGGGTCAATTATGAAAGGTGTGCATGCATGCCGGTCCTCTCTGTAAGCTGTAACTCTGCCACTGTGCCATTTGGTGGGAGCCTTAAAACTTTGATGAAAAATATTCCAACTATTTGACTCTGTCACTGTTGTTGCTTTCTGTTCCACAAATGCTAACTATTACCAACTCTCCCTCTATCCTCTCTACTAATTTCAGCACCCTTTGCTTGGTTCTGTCATGGGCTCAAGAGAACAAGAAACATGCACAACTTTTTGTTTATGCGTTGAAGGTTGGATTATAAGAGGGAAATAAAAGAAAAAGATGGATAATGCTTAGTAGTATGTTTTGTTGTTCCTATATGCATTGGATGTTGAGATGACATAGTTAAAAGTGCAAGTTCTTCGAATCTTCCCAAAACTTTGTTTACATTACAACATGAAACACAAGGGATTGGCCTAAAAAGAAGAGCTTTGGCATCAGTTACTAGTAGCCAATAGCCATGGTGTAAAAGGTAAGAAAGAGAATAAATAACTAGTTAAATACTACTACTTAATGTTTGGGATATCTAGTTTTCTGCGAACTATTAGAGTTGCTTAGTAGTAAATGGTTCAAGTAATGTTCACATTATCTTAAATTTGAATATTATTGATGTTATTGTAATTTTATTAATAAAAAAAAGTCTCAAAATATTGAGATCTATTAAAGAAATGGACTTTTTTTTATAAATGTTTTCAAAATACATATAAATTTAAAGATTGGATTCCTAGTCATATGTATAAGAGAAAAGGTTATTTACCTATCATTAATATGCTATTGATTAATTTGTTGGGATCCCATGGTCTTCACAATTCACTTGTGTCTAAGGAGGGCAGTGTAAACTCAAGACAGTACGTATCTTGAAAATTGACCATCATTGAATGCCAAATGAACATGTCATGACAAAACATCATGTCACGGCATGCCAAAGCCATGCATGTAAATAATAGTATTTATTCGCAAAGATGGGAAGAAAAATCCAAAGGAAGATCCCTTCTGTGACACATATAAATACAAACTTGTGCTGAGAGTGGGGTTGTAAGTTGTAACAGTGGGAGGTTGGGGGTCCCAATTATTGTTTCTACTTCTCTCATGCACCGTACCCGTTTTGTTTTCTTTTTATTCAAGGTGTTGTTGTGAAATCTCATGGCATGCTTAGACATGTATAACTCGGAGCACAAGGGTAATCACTGCGCTCCAATGAGCCCCAGAATCTCTTTCTCAAATGATTTTGTGGATGTTCAGCAAGCCATGAAGCAGGAACATAGAGGCTCCAGATCAGAACCAGTGTCCTCAGACTTTGAATTTTCAGTCACAAACTACTCCATGATGAGTGCTGATGAGCTTTTCTACAAGGGAAGGTTGTTGTCTTACAAAGGCAATTGCAACAACCAGATGCAGCAGAAAGCCACCACCACTCTCAAGGAAGAGCTCCTTGTGAATGATGATGAATATGAGAGTTTCTCTCTCAGGCCTCCCAAGGCCTCCTCAACAAGGTGGAAGGGACTTCTAGGTCTTAGAAAGACTCACATTGGCTCCAAGAAGCCTCACAAAAGTACCGAAGGTTCATCAGAAGCAAGGTCTGAATTGGTCAATGAGGGGCCTCCTATTAATATCTCTTCTCAGGTCATAAATTAATCTCTTTTTTATAAATAAAAAAATATTTATTTATATATTTTAGTTTTTCTATCTTTGAGATTTGATATGGTGTTGTGTGATCTATATATGTGATCCTTAGAACTATTAGTGTCGTCTTAATAGTGGAGAATTGGGATAACATGCATCAAGTCCAAATTTCAGATTTTGTTGTCCTTATTGTTATTCCTATGGATTTGCCTGTAGACAAGGCTTTGTTGTATTTATTTTGGGTTTTCTTTGATCTGATCACTAGCTAGGTGCTTGTCTGATTATTTGGACTTTTGTTTTTGCTGTATAATGCAGGAGCTGTTGAATGAAGGAGGCTCAAGTTGCTGAGATTTGGAGATTGGCATATAAGTAATGGTTGGTGGTAGTGTTGTTGAATTTGTAGAGGAATCATTGGACCCATTTTTCTTTTTTCTCCTTTCTTTTTGTGTTCCTTGGTGACAAGGTGGAGGGGAAAAAGGAAAGGTCATGTTCTTTTTTGTTTGGGTTAAGTTAAGTGATATTGTGTTAGGAATTTGCTTGTCAATTTCGATTCTTCTTTTGTTCTCTTCTTGTTTTTACTGATCCCTGTAGAATGTAGGATTCGGCTATTTGCTGTACAAATTATTTGCTTCTTGCATTTCAGTATTTGACTCTTGACGCCACAAGAAAAGTATCTTTATCATTCGAAAATTTCACTTCATGGAATCATGTTCAGGCCTTTATACTTGTAATTAACCTCGTGCAAAAAAGATGAAGGAAAGCTGGCTACGCTCAAGCTATCAACATTGCTTTCCCTAACTATTAGTCTTTTTCTTGATGGAAAATAAATGCTGATTGCTACGAATTAATCAACTGTTGTAAAATTTTATGATTTTGGGGTGTGTGTTGGTAATAGTGTTCTGTTAATTATTTTTTGACTCATTTCATGTTTTGACAACCTATTTATTTGTTCGACACTCTCGTTGAATACGTGTGATTATCTTCACACATAAATTAAATAACAATCGCTAGTTCTACGATAAATTTGCACTACATTTTATACAAAAGAGGAGAGAGATCGCATGGAAAAAAAGAAAAAGAAAAATGTTTATGATAAGATGAATAATCTAAAATGATGTAGAAAAATGTTAGGAATAACATAATTCAAATTAATATGATTACCGAGTACAAAATTCGGGATCAAAGTCACTATAAATAGTCTCTGGTTGTCGCATTGCTCTTTTTTTGTTTTGATTTTTCACTTTTCATGTTTGGACTGATATGGCATTCTTTCCATTTTATCTTTATTACCTGTCGGCAAAGGGGGGAAACAGAAAACTATACACTTTTTAAAATGTAGTCCGGAGAAGAAAAACTGTCTATCGATAAATTAACTCTAAGCAACTGTGATGAAATCAAAATGCCAATTCAATAGTTACCACAATTGACAGCTGATATGCCAAATGTTTTTTCCCCCCTCATTTCTAGCCTCTTCATCCTTCCCATAATCATTTTTTTTTCTCTTGCACATAGAGTTTTTCCCCTTTTTTTAATCACTTTGGAATAATGCTTTTGCTCACAGATTAGTTTTTCAGTCACAAGAATTTTGGACATAATGATTTTAAAACATAATTAGTGCAAAATTTTACGTATATAATATAATAGAAAAAGTCAACAGTAGTTTTGCTTAAATTTCATGACTGAATTTAAGACCAATAATCGAAATTGTATATTTTTTTTGTTATTACCCTTATCATATATTTTTACAGTAACTACATTATTTTTACACAATTTAACAAACAAATTATTTAAGTGCAGTTAATTTAAGCAATTATAATCGTATATGGTTAATCATGAGTGTGAATAAGTACAAGAGAGTATTGATAGACACACAAATGAATATAGACGATTAAATTTTAATAAATAATAATTGTGAAGTGAAGATAATAATGACAAAATTACAGTAATAAACTATTAAATTTGTTGTGATTTGGGGATACAATAGAGGAATCAAATCCTTCACTTGACTCGTCAAAAAAAAAAATTAAAAATCCTGCACTTGAAATTTCTTATCCTGCGTAACTCAGATTGGGCCACTGGCTTTGCGGAATATGCTGGACAGCCCAATAAAAATGTGGGCAAAGTTTGGGTGGCCACTTGATCACAATCCCATTTCGAGGAAACTTTGTTGAACATAGTATTAGGGCTTCAACTGTGGCAGCATATTAGGGCTTTTTGGCCCATTTAGTTAGAAAAGAACTTCTTCTTCTTCTTTTTGAAATTTTATTTCCTGAAATTTTATAATTATTAGTCAATAAAAAAAGAAAACACATTTGACCTGGGCATTCTTAAGCCTAACATAATTGAATCCTGAAGCATGTTGATTCTTAACCGTTAGTATATACATAATTGAATTTGTTGGAAAAATTGTACCTGTTCCTATGGTTTAGGGTTATCAATCAAATTGTTTAGGTTATTTTTCCTCATTTTTATACAACATTATTCTCCATTATTTAAGAAAAAAAATTGGGAAAAAGTTTTTCACAAACTCACATCACCTTCTCTCTCGAGTTTAACTGACTATTTGGATAACACTCACAACTTGAGACAAATAGTTAAATAGCATGGTGACAATGACAGAAATAACAAGTGACAAAAAAATAACAAATAATTAAATTGGAATTTATTATTTAAGCCAGTGATTTAAAATTAATAAATTTATTAGATAATAAAAAAAATTAACAAGCAAAATGACACATATCTTATAGCAATATAATACTTGCCACTAAAAATTATTTTTACCTATTCTATAAATATAATATATGTTGGTATATTGTTAAAATGTATAGGTATTAGTTATAATGACACATAATATATGTTATTAAATCTCATTCAAAATTAATATTTAAATTAGGTATAATTATATGTCAAATAAATTTATACCTACAATTTTTTATCTATAATAACACTTTTATATATCATTGTATGCAAAAAAAAAAAAAAAATTGTAGATAAACAATATATGATTTTTTTTAATAATGGCTATAAATTATTCTTTCATAAAAAATATCACATAAACTATTCAATAGTATGCTTTAACCATAAAGTTCTTCAATTCAAACAGAAACTATCAGCAAGAGCAAAATAATAAAATAAACTTATATTAATTTGGTTTTAATAGAAATATGAAGTAACAAAAATATGGTAAAAGCATCTCTGAATAATAAAATTAGGGATGTTTACGGGTCAGATTGATTTGAATTTACGTGAAAGTCTAATTTGAACTAATTAAATTTAATTGATTTAAATTTTATATTTTTTTTTACTTAATTCAAATCGAGCTAATCTGATGTTGATGGGATTAGTTCAATGTGAATCATTGGATATCCAATAATTTTAATAAAATAAATTAAAAAAACTCAAAATAAATAGATTTTCAAATATTAACTTAATTGATATATTGAGAAAAAATAACTAAATTGATAGACTTATGATATAATTCCTCTTGATTTCTTTTTTTAATATACTTAAGGATTTCAAATACATTACAATATATGAAAATGACTCTCAATATGCTACAATATTTTTTTTTTTTTATTTTAAGTATTTGAAAAAATGAATGAAAAATTACATATTAAAAAAAACATCTCTAAAATAATTAAAAAAAATACATATTATTTGTTAACCAAATAAAAAATAATAATAATATATAAATTAATTGGTTGAATTTAATTTGGTTCAAAATTTAAACGAGTAAATGTGATAATCGAACTAATCAACATTGAATTTAATTGGTTTGGTAGTTGAATCTAAATAAAACAAATAAATTAAATTAATTAGTTCAACTTGGATTGTTGAGTTTATGAGATTGATTTGATCCAATGAACACTAAAATAAAAATATTTTATTACTTGATATGTGTATGAAGCTTTGGTCGTTAAACTAGCAAAAAAGATAAATAGGCTTTCACTTCATGCATGAAAGATAGACTCAAGACATGCAATATCGAAACTTCTTGGACGTTTTCATATTATGATCAATGTCGTTATATCTTATTATATGATACAGTTTAACTTTGTTTCAAATAAAGATGTGGTAATCTTTGGATGATTTATACTCACTCCCTTACAATACAATGATCTGGTATCAAAATACGTTTGACATTCTACTAAAGAGAATTCAATAATAATTTGGATTGATATTATTTACTATGATGAGGGTTTTCTTTTAGTTATTGTTTCCTCAATAGAAAACCTTTCAAAGTTGACATTATTTTTCCAAAGATGCCAAAGGAGAGATTTGCTAGTTTGCAATGTAGGAGACTTAAATCATCACTTTCTAAGAAACCAGATTGTTAAATGATCAATAGTAAAATGTATGTATTAAAAATTATACATCAACAAAATGATAAAGCCAAAATATAATATATAAGTAAAGAATTATTTTAATTTCCTAAGTTAATTTCGAAAGATTGAATTAAGTTTAAATCTATTTTCTTAAGATAATATTAGAGTTCATCCTAACTATTATTGTTTATTAGACTTATCAAGACATTCACTATTAAATCATTATTAGATTACATGTATAAGTTTAGTCCTAATAATTTAATGTTCGAGATATCCAATCATCAATATTAAGAGAGTATGTTGGAGACTCCATTAATAATAAAGCCAAAATATAATATATAAGTGAAAAATAATTTTCACAAAGTAAATAGCAATCATCTTCATATAAGTTTATTTTGTAAAATTAATGAATTATTTCTTAATAATAAGCCTCCATGTTATTTGTTTTTTTCATAAACAAATTGTTATATTAATATAAACGAATTAAATTTCATGCTATAATATTATATAAAAAAGTTGATAATTTTCTTACTTGTTCCTACCCTCCAAATGCAATAGCAAAAAAATTACACCAGTTAAAATTTTAATATATACTTTATATTTGAGTATACAAGAAAATTCTCTTAAATACTTTACATTATATAAAACTCATTATAAACCCAAATCAAATCCCCACTTCTAAGTCACCACACATCAAGATTACATGACTTGTGATTAGATGAGTTCTTGGAATATAATGAATGCAATGTTGTATAAAAAAAAGGATGTTAAAGAGATTGTTGGGAGCACCACAAATGTTTTATTTGAATAATTATTTTTGCTAAAATTAAATATTTTTGTCACCTATTAAGCTAACCTCTTGTTACTATTATAGAACTACAATTAATGACATTCTTATGGACTTTGGGGTCCTAACTAGATATGAATTAGATTCATTTTTTTTTTTGTTGCAATATACATACCATGAATGAACTATACTTTTATAGTGTGTTTGGATGAGAAATTTTACAAATTCAAGAAATTTTAAATTCTTCGTATTTGAATTACTTTAATTTCAATTTCTATCATTCTTAAAATATTTTGTTTGGATAAGTCAATTTAAATTTTTCAAATTTTAAATTGTTGAGTTGAATATGATAATTTGATTCTACCATGGTAAAATTAATTTTAAAATTATATTTATATGTTGATATTTTTAAATTAAATTTTATAAAAATAAATATTAGCTAATTTTTAAATATTTAATAATTTTAAATATTAATATTACATAATATTTAATAATTTTAAAAATATTTTTGAATATTAAATAATTAAAAACATGAAGAGATAAGAGATAAGGTAAAATATATAAGTGAAATAAGAAGAAAAAAATGAGGAATTTCAAATTCTTACTTTTTTGGGAGAATTTGAAATTCTACTATTTCAAGAAATTTCACAAATATTTGAATTTCAAATTCCTTATATATTTTTCATCTAAACAATGTATTTCACCTCAAAAAATTTGAAATTCTTTAAATATATAAATGAATTACTCCATTTAAATTTCTCATCCAAACACATTATTATGGAAATTGTCAAGGCCAATGAATGGATGTTCACAAGTATGCGAGCCAATTTCGCTCTTTGTGCATTATTTGTTGGAATTATTTGTGACATTAGATAAAAATCTATTATTCTTTGAATGTTGATAAAAGACTTTAATGACAATCTTTTATTATCAAAGTAAAATGAATATTATTTGTTTCCTCATTCCAACGGAGTCACCTTTACAAAAAAAAAATTGAAGAATTATTGGCCCTAATATGATTAGAGGTAAGTTTAAGTGATACTAGCTAGCTACATATGGAAAAGTAGAAAAAATTTCTCATGAAGATTGATGAGGCATAAATGACCTTTGTTAATGCATATATGTATACTTCATTCTAATTGTAACCTACTCTGGCTCATATTGCCATTGAAGTTTAATAAATTAGTGATTAAATTTATCAATGAAAGATTCTTTTCCATTACTAGTTTTGACAACGTTAATTTTTAGTTGTGCTACTTTTTTTTTATTTCAAAATTTATATATAACATTTTCATTTATTTTTGTATTTATTTCAAACGTTAAATAAAAGGTATAGATTGATATTGACATTTAAATTAAAAATAAATAAATAGATAAAATTTAGTGTCAAACTTTTGTTTAACACCTTGGTGTTATTAGATCATAGGGATCATTTTACTCTAGGAGTAAGTCTACCTAAACTTACTTCGTTCAATAACTCATGTTTTACATCAAATTTTAACGATTCAACCTTCAATTTAAAGTCTTAATGTATAGATCAAATCTGCAAGTCTTTAGAAAATTTGAAAATCATTTGATACTTCATTTCATTAATTCAAATTGACAAATAATCATAAAATCATTTTATACATTGATTTAAATTAATGAAACGAAGTATCGAATAACTTTCAAATTTTCTAAAAACTTATAGATTTGATTTATGTATTAAGAACTTTAAATTGAACAGTTAGATTGTTAAAATTTGTAGAACATAAGTTATTGAACGAAATAAGTCTAAATATACTTACTCTTAATAGTGTATAGATGATTAACTATATATATATATAAACTTTAACGAAAGTTAAATAAATACTTAATTTTAAGTGGAGGGTACTACTACTATTGTATACTTCTATTTGCATCAATACTTGATATCGTAGGTAATTAATTATCAAATCTATGTAGCTAACAATTAATATAATTAACCATATGACTTATTCAATAAGTAATCCCAATTTTCCTCATAAGTTTTTGTGAAGTTATGATGATGTATATATGGAAGGCAATTAACTAGTGATGCTTAAATGCTTAATCCAAATATTTGCGCACACTTACACGGAAAGAAGAAAAGTGCGTTGGAAAGCGAGTCTTGCGAGTGGCTAAAAGTAATTAAAGACTAGAGATTGAGAGAGGGTGAGGAATATTTTGGAGGAAAAGACTTGGTAAGTCAATGTTCCACGTGGGTAAGGAGAGACCAAAAGTAGCATGATGAGAAGTGAAGAAGGAATAGGGCACAAGATCCAAGAAGAATAGTGCCGTACCCAAGTGACGCCACTCTTTGTGTCCAGTGCCACTTCCCTCTTTAATATCCAACTGCCACACAACAATAATAATAATAATAATATAATGCTTTCATTTCTTCATCATCTCCTTCTCCTTCACCTATAACCGCCCCCAACCCCAAACAGATACTGCTCCTATTCTTCATCTCCCTGACACGCATTGCATCATTTTAGAATCAACCTTTCGCTGTCAACCGTTGATATATCAAATCACCCTTACTGGGCCCGCAAGCCCAAATCACCATTGTGGGTTTTACTGCTTCTTTCCCTTTTCCGGAGATGCCTATTTCAAGTGCCCACATGCCCTTGTACCTTCAATCTTCGTTTTAGCTACGGATTACCATTTTAATCACACTTTGCATATTTAGATTCTTCCTTCTCTCCATCGATGTTTCTTATGCCAAAGACTTGTACTACAACATATATTGGCTTTTTATTAAAGGCTGTGTTTCCATCCATTTAACTCAAACATAATGTTAACCCATATGGCATTGTCTCCTATTTATGTCTTTATGTATAGGATCCTATGTATTCTAATTCTAATGTAATGTAACCTCTCGCTTTTCATTAATAATAACAATATCTCAGTCTCGCCTATGCTATGCCCACATCTGTGAATCTAGTAGCAATGAAATTCTTCTTTTTTTTTTAAATACAAATTTGTGGATGTGAATCTGGACCTGTTTCACGTACATTGTACCTAAGGTTGCAAATGGTGGTGTTAATTATTAATGGTTAACACGGACTGCAGGGGGAAGGACAAAAATGAGGTGTGGATAAACATAATAATACAATTATACTATTTCATCTGTGAATTACATTTTGCATCATCAACTTGTCGTGACGTGTGTCATATAAAAGAATATCCGGGGGGGGGGGGGG